ATACATAAACTTTGCTCCCTCTTTCCAATCGAGAGGAGACGATAGCCAACTCTTAGCTCTTATCACCACTCCTAGCAGAGTAACGGTGTGAGCAGCTCTGAGGTGCATTGATCACCATTCCATGGGCAGTAGTTAATTGACAAGCTTTGTAATGAATCGTTCACACATACGCACACCAAAATAATCTTCAAGACAAGAGCGGTTGCCAATTTTTAAACAAAATTTGATGTTAGTAATGGTCTATTTCCACCACCAAACAATTGCAATATATAGCTAGTTTGTTTGGCCGGTTTTGGCTAAGCGGTCGCCTAAGTCTCGGCAGATTGTACTTCTTCTCAGTGGCATGGCCTCTAAACCGTACCGGTGACCTCCTAGTACTTAGTATACTATTAACTGATTTCCTGCCGTAGTTCTGTGACTCCTTCAGATTTCAGCTAAAGTTGCAGCATCACACAACAATGTACTTGAGCATAGCTGTCATCTGTTGTTTAAAATCCAGAATAAAGGCATTTCCCCCAATTTCCTATCCACCTATTGCTTCTATCAAGGCCTATCCATTAAGAGGATACCATGTTTTTGCGAAAACTGGTCCGATATTACAGTGAGGTGTTGGTAACACATTCGCAACTTGCGGCACTTAAACACATACTAGTCTTAGCAAGTTCGGTCCAGGTTTTTAGGCCGTTAATGAAAGCAAGGTGTAGAAGTGTCAGCTAATCTGAAAATATACTGAAATTACTGTTATCATAAAAAAACATCCACTTTGTGCAAAATTAGTGAAGCAAACACTTATTTAGTATCACAACCATCCAGCCTACTGTTGACATTCCAGGAGAGCCGAAAAGACTTTTAATTTGCGATTTCTCCATCAAATAACTTCTTGCACTCTTTGATCCAACTGCTGCTATGGCCTTTAACTGGGTGATCCAAAATAGGCTAGAAGTAGCCAAACGATTACTTTTCATTGATTCAGTGGCTTATCATCAACCATGATCCCTCTATCTCTTTTTCCATTCATAAAGTTTCTTTCCTAGAAAAGGCTCACTATGACTGATTCAGTTCAGTTTACGATGAGTAGGAGAAAATATTGCTACGTCAAAAGGCTCTGCAAAAAAAGGCACAGGTCTGATTCACTAAGGCACGAAGTAAGACGACTGAATGCAACTCACTTTCGTAATGGCACAAATGGGTCCTCACGATTTCGGGCCCTAGGCGACAGCTTTTACCTCTTCGACTCAGAATATTGACAGTTTAAGGATTCTCCGATGCTCTGCCTAATAATTTAGGATTAATTTGTACACCGAGCTTATACATTGCGATTTAACGGAATCCGCGTCTATCTACTGCTTAACTGCAATGAACGGAGGTTTGATAGGAGGGAAGGAGATGGCGCCCCTCCTTCAGTTTAGTCCTATTTAAAGATCAACCTTTACCAAGCCATTGCATTAAGTTGTGACACGTTGGACTTGCAAAGTAAGCTACGAAATTGGTTTTATTCCATATTATTTGCAGAAATATTCTGATTGAATGTCAAAAATTATCAAACAATGGGTAGTATCTGGAGCCATCAGAATCGCCAAATTGTCGTCGTCAGTAGTGGAAATTACATGTGTGCATTAGTCGTTTAAGCTAAACCTGGATGTCTGCCTTTACAGTATAAAATTAATGGTATCATGGTGGTACTATGGCCCTATCGCAGGCACAAATGGCCAAAGCTAATGTGGCTTGCGTCAGTCCATTAATCAAAATGACATGATGGCTGATATCTGTAGTGGCTGTGTAAATGTGTGCAGCTGTGTGTATTGATGAACAAAGCAAGTTTCTAACAAGAAGAAGGGATGAAACTCAAACCCACGGATATTGTTGTGTGCCTAATAAAGACCACGAGCAAAATTTGTGCGGTATTGTTTGTTATGCATCTGTCAAACCAATTAGCATTAGGACTTCTAAGTGGTTTGAAAGCGAAAATCTTTGAAGTGGTCACCTGCGGTATTAAATTTCAGGGGAGATCATCCACATCCTAATCTTGCAGCGACTGAAGCAGTTATGCGCATTAAGTATTGTGATATTCTTAGGTCATTAAACTAAACGTGCTTTCTAGCTGTGCAAATTTGAAGTAGACATTGACAAGTGTGCGTTAGAATGGTCTGAAGGAGAGGCTTGAATGACAGTTCTCAAAACTGGTAAAACTGGCTAAAATCACCACTTTACACCCATCTACAAGATCAAGGTGCCCACTAGTCGATGCGATAGCCTTTGTGCAGAAGGGCTTTTCCGGGCTCCACTTATTGTTCAAAACAGGTAACAAGGTGCTCCTTCTGTTAACCATCATCCATCGTCTTTGTGGTCAACAGACTTTGATGTTCGCCGTTGTAAGGTTAGTCACCCCGGAGTACAAAGCTATCGCATCGAACTGTCCGATAAGGTAAAATGGCTACAGAGTGTAAGAGTAACTCACTTCCACCTGGAGGGCTTAAAACATGCTGAGGTCTTTGAAGCATACCATCCCACCAAATGCACTCCATGGAGGAGAAGACGGTTCGTCCTTACGTTGTCTGCGAGGTGTTGAGACACTAAATTTGTTGCACGAGTTTCATTGATCTAGAAGATTAACCACCCCAGATTATTGATAGATGAGTTTGGGATTGCTACCATCTTTAAGGAAGAGGCTATACAATTGTTGTGGTGCATCTTGCTCTCATCTGACTCCTACAATAGGTGATGATTGTCGCTTTTTCTTGGAAATACTATGAGCAATAAACTTCTTTTGATCACGCACAAAATAGACCAGTCGGTCACGAATTAAAAGGGAAAGTGGGATTGATGTGGGGTGTTCCTGGAATATTTTATTTGTTGAAATAATCGCTACTAATATTGAATGCTTACTGCCTTACCATCATGGCAAGCTTGCAACAAACCCCAATTTCGTCCTAGTTTGTTTCTGGAAACAAAGAACTCTCCTTAGTTTATTTGGCCTCCTCGCGCGTCGGAGAAAGATCTTACAAGACTCTGTAAAATTTTGTTATAAACATAGTCTCACATTTGCAGAATAAAGTTGCTTTCAACTCTACTTAACAAGCATGTTTACACAAGTGATCCTTGAAGGCGTGAAACACGGCGCTAATAGGGTTCCTTCTTTTCATTATTTCTCGAACTGTGAGAGGCGTAGACTCTATTTTATAGGAATGCACGATTGGGATACTGGTACCATCCTTCATCTACACCTAACCTCCGCACGGAGACATCTGTTCCAGCCTGTCAAACTAGACTAAGGCGAATGCAGTTGTTGAACTAATGCGACTCTACTCGGTGCGTGTGCGACCTGTTTCATCCCTAACTTCCATCTTTTTCCNCCTGTTACTTACTTTTTGTGTCCTTTTCTGGATGCATTATAGAATCAATCTCGTTTGAAAAGGCATTGAGGTATCATTTGCGACAAGCCGGTATAACCCCTGATCAAGGATCTGGAAGGTGTGGTGCTCTTCATGTCTCCTATAATCAACGACGGAATTCCGACCACTTTTCTTCTAACCATTATTGGGTTGTGGTCTATAGAATGGACTAGTTTATCTCAGAGGAGTTTAGACAGTCACTGTGAATACCATCAGTGCGTGATTAGTCGCTGTCTAATGAAATCTTTCTGTCTGTCAGCTGCACCGGTTTCCTAGTTCCCTCATCACTTCTTCCACACCTTGCAGTCGAGCACTTCAAATGCTTAGAGGTCGGAAGCTTAATTAGAAGATGTCTGTAAATGGGCCTCAGCAGGTACACCAGCTGCATCACCCACGTGTGCAGCCCCGGCTTTCTTTTTAGGTCTATCAGCACCTGTTATTTGTCAAGTTTTGATGACTGGTTGTATCAGAATATGTTGTTAACGGATTGATTGAGTTTAAGCCAAGAAAATAGATATGGGATCGTCTGGTCCGGGTCGATTGCTTTTCCAAAAACTGGAAGTTGCAGTTGTCACAAAATATGGTGGTATAAGCATCGACATCATACTGGTTCAAGCATTTGCCTTTGTGTCAGGAGTAGTTGACTTCCCACTAAGGCTCGGCTAACGGGCGTGTTAACGGTTTTAGTTGCTATTAGTTCAAGTCACTGTCATCAGCGCAAATGATTAAGACAAGAGAGATGAGAAGGAACAATAAAAAGGGAGTAGATTTTAGCAATATCCTTTCATTTAGTTCCACCTTTTTACTAGTGAACACCCCAAAATCACCTTTTCAACCATAATTGTCTTCATTGAGTGTACTGTAACGGACCTCAACTGGGCTGGCGTTGTCCTGAATGTCAGAGTGAATATGCTCATTCATGCAGGTAAGGTGACAGTTTCATTGCGAGTCTCCTGCGGCCAATTTATGGTTCATTTGCAATACTCTTGCAGCCCCAATATCTGATGAAGTTGTGGGGCTAGACATCTTTCACCCTCTTCTGTTTGTCTTTGCAGTTCAAAGTTAATGCAGTTGAACTTATGATGGCTTTTTAGGATTTTGAGAAAACGAGTGTTCAACATATTTTCAATACCCTCTTTCATTTAGACCCCAATTACACCGTGGTTTTCAGCAAGATTTTACTAAGGCGTTTGCTTACTTTTTACCTCTGCAGTGTTTGGTGAATAACAACTTGAAGCAGTTTTAAAAAAAGGCCAATTCGGAAAGGCATTTAGAAATTTGATTTTTATTCATTTACTGTTCCTGCCAAAGTATTTTACTTTGTCACAAAATCTTCTCCTCTACATTTACTACCCTCATTGTACCATTGTCTCCATTACCATTAATGTTGGCTATTTTTCACACTTTTATTCTCCCTTTTTAGGACTTGGGAAGAGATGGTTATAGTTGGCGAATGTGTTGCTATTAATGTTACTGATAAAATACGGCTTTCAGGCAAGGTTTAAAAGTAATCCTCAACTGAGGGTTTTCATTACAGTTTCTAGTTGTATGCAGGGTCTGCGAAATTGCCATTTCATCTGTCAAGTCAGGTGTCCCTAAAGTTAAGTGATGGACGGTCTTGCTGGGGCCGCAGCAGTAAGGAAATTCATATTTTTCCCCACATGTGTCATCATCTACTTCAATCATTCAAGAAGGCTGCTTCTGGCTTTTTTAATTTCAGTAACTGTTCCATGTATGTACGTGCCTTTTAATTTTTAGCTTCTCCGTCAGTTCATCTTAGTGATAAGAGACAATCGCCTTCCGCCTCCTACTCCTTTATCCTATTCCTTTACAAGAGTTGGCTTTAGGTGTCATGAGATAAACTTTGCGCTGCTTTCAAAGCTACTGGAAAAGTAGCTTCTTTCCCTCAAGGATCGAAAATAAACGTATTTGAATTTGATTTTAAAGCAAATCCGTCCTCATAATCTCATCACCTATTGCAATACCACTAGATATCAGACTCTGACTTCATGCTCTGAGAATGGAGCTCCAAATTAGAGTAGTAATAATTTCTGGATCACAATTCTCGTTTTTTCCACGTTCGCGGAATAAATGTGGATCATGCATATAACAGAATTGGATTCGTGCTTCTACTTTTATCGTTTTCCAGTTTAGCATCAACCCGAATTCCTCCTCGTTGCCTAGTTTAGCATCATTATCTATTCGCATAACTATCACAATTCTAAATTCTTGATTTGCATTTGTATTTCCACATACTCATCTTTAAAACCATTTTCGTTTTGCCACCAGTGATAGGCTTCACTTCACTAAGGTGTGTACTTTTTCTTGATCATAAGAAGCCAGTTACCACATTTCCAGTGTCTGAAAAAAATCGTTTAGTTTTCTGTGGCGCCTTTCAGTTCATCTATCTATTAGGATGTTTGCTACCAACGACACATATGCGTGACGCCAAGATCTTGCCTGAAATCAGCCCCGCAAATCAGTGACATGCGTTTCCATTTGGTTTGTGGCTGGTATCAATAAAACGCATTACAACTAGTCTAGTTAGGTTTAAAATAAGTCCTGTAAAAGTGCCATAGTGGGACAATGCAACAACTGGGCTCTGGTAGTTGAATTTTTCTCGCCACATTAACAGGAAACCGGCTAGATATCTTCACTTTCTAAACTTTTAATATCTAAAGGACACATTATTTCATTCCTCCAAGTCCTCTCTAGTTTATCTACCATATTTCCACAGAAATCGGGAAAGAATCCTGCTAATTTAGTTATGTGACTGATTTCATTATCTATCACTTTTGATCATATTTGTATTCAACGCTGCAAATTTACCAGTTTAGGAGGATTTTTGCTTCTACCACTGTCAGCTGCCAATTAGTCTTGGTCTTTGCCACTCTCGTGCCCTCGGCATTTATTACAATGTAGATAAAGATCACAGAGACAGTGGTGGAGTTATCGCTCTTAAAATGCCAGACTTTCACATCGCAGCCTACACAACGCTACAGGGGATGCAGGTAGCATAGACAAGTTGAGAGTTGCTTCTGTAGACATTTCCTTCGTTCCTTTTTCCGTACTCTGTATTTAAAATTCCTTTTGCTGTTTTTAATTAGAGGAGGCTTGCTTTGTACAGCAAGAAGCATTATGTGTTTTTATTCTGCAACTCTTCTTTATCACTAACAAAAGAGTTATCAGCTTCCATTGAACTATACCACTTCTCAAATTCCTTCAGCAATAATGCCTCTCTCATTTTCTCTACTCATCCCGTCCAATCGTCCTTTTAACTCCTCACTCTCAGCCTCCAGACAATAGATGCTTTGATAGGTTTACACAAGCACATGGGTGTAACCACATCCAATTTACTGCTGAGGCTACTGAGACATTTTGAGCAGTGCTATCCTCAGTCAAACACCAGCATCACGCCTCGTTTTGTGATTCACGTATAACCTCTACCTTAAGTGCCTGTTGCACACCCTGCA